TAACTAAATACATGAGGGTAAGCAGAAAAACAGAAGGCAGCCTAGGCTTGGGGTAGATAATAGCATGAAGTTAGGATGGTATTGCAGGGTTTGGGGATTAAGGACCTTTGAAACATCCAAGTGAAGTGGAACAGACAACTTAGGACTAAGTTTTGGATCTTGAAGGAGAGATAAGGGCAGGAGATATATCCATAGGCATTAACAACATCATTGAAAACAGAAGTTGAAAGTGGTTGCAATCAACTAGAAGCAATTTTAAACAGAAAGTAGAACACCCAGGTCCAAACCAGAGGCACATTTAAAGCTCAATTGGAACTTCCATATGAAGGACAATAGGGACCACCTAATTCTGAATCTTCCTATTTACGATCCTATAATGCCCATAAATCCAGCAAGGAAAGGCTATAAAATCACTCATGACCCTCACCTTCTGCAGTATGAGTAGACTATGGGACTCAAATTACCTTTAAGTAGAAAAACAAACCAAATTAAATGCCAACAGAACTTGTGCTGCCCACCCCCTGCTGCCAGCCTGTGGGTGTGGAGAGCAGCGGAGAGGAGCTTAAAAGAGGAACCAGGGCTGAGGTGTAGCTCAGGGGTAGAACACCGCCTAGCATGTGGCAGGCTCTGTGTTGGATGCCCACTACGGTAGAAAACAAAAAAGGTCTGTGTAGAGATATTAAAGTTGCTTCTGAAGAAAATAAAATGTCACATATTAACGAGCTCAGTCATCTGTTTTTATGGGATTCTAACAAATGGACAGAATCATCTAAGCTTATGACCCTTTCTCAGTGGGTTTCTTGGATCCACAATGCCACTGGTCACTGTGCTATTGATTTAAGGTAACCAGAGCAATTTACTAAAATGCAAATGCAAAAGGAGGTATAATTTCAACAAAAACTGTGGAGTTGTGACCATTTCAACTCCAGATAAGGTGGAGTTCTCTATGGAGGACACAGGTCTCCAGGAACATTTGTGACCAGGGATGGGAAACAGGGACTCAGCTCTTCTATGTGATCAGAAAAATCTGGAATTGGACACACATGGGACAATCACCCGATACAGAGTTCAATTATTTCTATACTGAAGATAATAAGGGCAGGGAACTTAATTAGAATGACAAGGGGCAGGAATAGTCACAGATAGGAGTTAGAGCGCCACAGTGAAGACAGGGGGTCTGACCTCCAGGCTTTCTCAACTTCAGGGGTTGTTTTCTTAAACAAACAATCAACCCCCCAATCTATCATCCTGATTTGAAAACCAAGGGACCCTAGAACTAAGCACTCATCAAAGGCAATCACGGTGGATGTATTTATGACGGGGTTTTAAGAAGCACAGACAATTCAATTGTAAAACAGGCCAAAATTTTAACATTCAATTTTGCTGCCAAGTTTTGAAGTGCTTTTCAAACTTCGCTTTATATCATATCACAGATGAGGAAATATGTGAAGAAAGTGTAGCTGAAGCTCACAGTTCTGCAAATGACTGTGATACTACAATAAGGCTCTACTTCGGGGGTCAGCAAAATTGTCCTGTAACGGGCTAGATGGTAACATTTTAGGCTTTGTGGGCCATAAAATCTCTGTCACAACTGCTAACTCTTGCCATTATAGCCTGAAAGTAATCCTAGAAMATACTAAATAAATGGGTGTGGCTGTGTTCCAAGAAACCTTTACTTGTAATAAAAACCACACAGAGGATGTAATTGGCCCTCAGGCAAGGCTATCTTGTTCACATACCAGCAGAAAGTATGGGAAAAGGGGGTGGGGAACGGAGGCAGGAGAGAGGAGGAGATAAAGATATTAGGAAAAATATTTAAAATTAGTGATAAGTGAACTATTTCAGCCGGTGGTTTCCAATCCTGGCTGTTAATGAGAGGCACCTCCGAAGCATATTTTAATGGCAGATTTCCAAGTTCCGCCTCTAGAAGTTGTCATTCAGCAGATCTAGGAATATTTTCATATTTCCAGGGAGACTCCTTGATTTTCAAACACTGAGTGCTCATCACCATCCTTAACAGTCAACTGCTGGACCAAGCAGGAGGAGAGGAAAAGGACTGCTGTACCAACCCTCACGGGGCAATGGGGAGTCCACTGTTCAGGAGTGCCTAGGCCCACTGGTCACACATTAACTTCTACTTCTGAGTTGGAGGAAGAGCTGAGCTTAAACCCAGGCATTGCCACTAACCACTGTGGTCTCTCTCAGCAAAGGTTTAGTGAAAGATGCCAATACCAAAATGGAGTCACGCACACCAGACCTAACACAATGGAGCAGGGAGGCCAGGAGGGCGGGGCTCTCATGCACAAGCCACTGTGATGAAAACCACTGCAAAGACTCCCTGCACAAAGGCCACTGTAACCTTACACAGTGACTATTTCTACAGGGATGTCTGCCCAGCAATTGCCTTTTAAGTCTTGGGCCAGTAACACCTGGGTTAGGAATCCTTGTAGTCAAGGGTAACTGCTTCAGAACAACTTATGTAATCTCTCTCATTTACCTTTAAAAACTTGTCTTTGTCTTCCTGAATTATTTATAGCACACACATTCCAGTTTGCACTTTTCTGAACATTCCTGGGTAAAGTCTTTTTTAGATCTCAAGAGAGCCATTCTCTGTTGTTATATAGGTTGACAATTTCCTCATCTGTAACACCTCTTACAACACCGAGTGTGGGATTTTAGAAAACACAGATCTATTGCAGCTCATTCTGGGAAACTGTAATCTTTTATCCTCTCTCTTATGAAATTAAACTGAACACAGTGTTTAAGAGTGAAAGAATATTACAGATGGTGGCATTTAACTAACCTCTGACAGGATTTTCACAGAATCACAAAAAAACAGAACAAAAACAAAGTTCTGAAGGGCGTTTAGTTTTGAAAAAAGGTACTCAACTCTTTAGGGTTTTCTTTTATGAAAGAACTTTCAACAATCACTTTAAGTTTTCAACTCTAATTTCCCTGCTTCTGTGGTCTCCAGAGTCACTTCACCATGAGTGCCTCTTTGATATACCGACAGTTTAAAGATACCAGTTCAGAATAACAGAAAGGGGAGGAAAGGAAGGTTGGCCAGAGGCTGAACAAGGTTGTGTAGGTGTGCTAGTTACTTTTTCTGTCATTGTGACCAAATGCCTGAGATAAGCAACTTAAAAAGAGAGAAGGTTTATTTTGGCTCATAGTTTCAGAGGTTTCCATCCCTGGTTGCTTGGCCCTGTCACAGGAAAGAGCGAGTGAGCAAGAGAGAGTAAGGGAGAGAAACATGGTAGGCAGGGGAATTGGACCAGGATCCACATCTCCTTTGTGAGCACACACTTGACTTTGTTTCACTAGACCCACCTCTTCTAGTTTCCACCACCTCCCAAAAGTGCCACATACAGGAGACCAAGCCTTCAACACATGGCCTTTGAGGGACAGTCAAGATCCAAGATCCCTGTAGTATCAGGGCACTCCTATCATAGAAATTTAAAAGGTATAGCAGAATTTCTGTCTTTTATGAAGTCTAATTCTTATGTTGTTAATGTAGCAATCTCTACATCATGTGATTGAAGTTTAATAAAATGCTATTTAAGAAGATGGGAATAAAGGAAGAGATGGAGCCATTTATTTTGAGAGATCAAAGGATACACATGCATAATAGTGACTATGATCGCTGATTTGTGCCAACTCATGTGGGGTGGTGTGAGAGGCCTCACAGACCTCTGATGGTAAGAGTTCCAGGAGTTTAATTCTTTGCTCGACCTCTGGGCCCATTATATACATGCACATACTATGGCCATTATTGCTCATGACACAGAGCTCCTCATAGCTTGCACTTAACTCCTAACCACTACTTCTAAAGTGTTGTCAAGGGTTAATGCTTCATAACAACTTTTGTGCTTTTTAAGTTAGAAAGAACTAGTTTTCTGGGACCAGGAAAATTTTCATTTCAGGAAATTAAATAACAAAAATGAAGGGAAAACACTCAAATCATCCACAGGAAAAAACAAAACAAAACAAAAAGCGAATTAAGCTCCCCGCTGATCAATCAGTTCTGTAATAATGTGACAGAAGTGTCCCTAGAAATTAGTTTTAGGCAAAAGCATACAGTAAAAATCAAATAACTTCTCAGGAAAATGAAACTAGGGGCCCAACACCTCAAAACTACACTACTCATGGTCCTCCCCAACTCAATAAAAAGAGCAGGAGTTTCCAACATGCTAAATGGCTAGAAAATATAAATACCAAAGTAAATACAAAAAACTCTGAAAAATTGAGTAGAGCCTATGATCATGGCTGTCAGAGGATCGCAGCTCTTGGTGATTATAAAGTGGAGAAAGAAGGGTGATCTGAGGCCAGGCAGAAAGTCCTGGCTCCAGAGGCAGGTGTGCATGATGCCTCACACCTTAGTGAATTGAGGCGCTGGTGATGGTTTGAGGTGTGTCTTGTGTGTTCTTGTGTGGCTCAGTGCAGTTGGTGCAGTTTCCCGTGTTGGTCTCCTGTTCCTTGGGGACCAAACTCCACACAAACAATGTGAAACATGCACCATGTTTAAACCATCCCCTAGTATCAACTGAAGTAGAGTGTGCATTTCCAGAACAAGTGCTACCACAGCACCATGTTTGCTCACCAGGCACCAACAATAGTGGGATGACATAAGATGGACTTCTCTCCATCAAAGTATCCCAATGAAGGTTTCAAAAAATGCTGACCCACAGAACTAAGATGGGTCAAAACTTAAGATAACCATGTGGCTTCTGGGGTATTCTCCAAAGAGATTTTTTTTTTCTCTACCTGTCCATCTTGAAGAAAGTTTTATTAGAAAAGTAATTTTTATTTAATGAGAAAATAGTTCACACATTGAAGGCAATGCTCTCGAAACTGCAAAAATTCAAGTTGACTTTTACCTTTTCATGGATTAGGTAGATACTCTGAGTACTGAGCATTTAAAATTCGTTGGCAGCACAGAGAAACACAGCTGAGACAAAAGAATAAAGGATCCACCTTGTGAGTCATCAAAGTGCTTTATTTTGTAAAGCCTGGCTCATGACTGGAGTGTATTGTTAGCACTGGGAGATACAAGGCAAACTTCCTCACTCTGTCCAAACAGTTTATCAACAGAAATGATTGACAGAGGCTGTTACAGACAAAAATAAAGCATTTTGTAAACTTCTAAAAGCATACACAGATTGGTGACAAAGAAAATGGTTACTCAAATCATGAATATGTACCTTGTCTTTACTTCAGGGTCTCATATCTGTAAGTCTTGGGTCAAAGGAACCATGGTACAACTTTGGGACACTGAAGTGGGTGGGGTTGATGCCATAATTAATGGTGGTAGTGGAGAACCAAATCATAGCACTGATTAATTTAAACACATAAAATACAGACTTGTGCAACTATGTTACAGTGGAGCTAACATCACTGGAGAACAGATCATGTAAAGTCAGGAGATGGTAATGGGATGACACTGCTGCTGGCTTCCAGAGACGCTGTGAAGGCAGCCCACATACCCTGGGCACAGCTGCAGCCTCCAGTAAAGTGCCGGGAAGAGGCAGCTTGGGGGGTGGGGGGGGGTTGTAGGTTATTATCAAAGGGTAGATTTATTTTTCCTTTTCTGAAACTGCCTACAAAAACCATCTCATGTTTTGAACAAAGAGTTTTAAAGGCACAGCTTTTAGCACAGCATATAAGTTGATAACCTACTCTAAGCAAGTCTAATATTTTATAACTTGATGCCATTTAGAAAATGCAGAGAAGTTGGTAGTTCTATGGTTTATGTTGGAACTTTTTAACCTGATTAAACACAATCAGCACAGTTTAGGGCAATGAACTTATATAACCAGATTTGGATTAATTTTTTTTAAATCATTAGGTTGATAAATGTACATCTGGAGGAGACAAAACAATCCTTTTCTTTTTATTGTAAGACTGTCTACCACATACTTTGAACAAAACATTCACTCAAAAACACAACTGCAGGACACATCTCAAAATACAACAAACATCATTTCACCTACACTGTAAAATGACTTTACATGTAAACTTCAAAAATCACATGCTGTATATTAAATTTTTAGATTCAAAAATATCCCTGTTTTCCTAATAATGTAAACAGTAAAACTGAGGGTTTCAGTTAAAGGGATAATTCGTAACAAAACACCACTGTTGTTCAAACGGTGGTCAAACACAAAACTCTTATAATTCAGATCTGCGTTYGATCCAGGGAGAATTCAGTTTTATTACTTTGCTCATCTTCCTGCAGCGGGAGATGTAGCTACCATTGCCCCAAACTATGCGCCTCTCAGGTAAGCTTGGTTTTTATGTTGTAGCATTAATTCCTAGACTGCAACATAGGGTGTAACAGTGAGTCTCCAGGCAAGAGAAGGGAAGCAAGCAGTTTTCCTGCACATATTTACGGAGGTGAAAATGTAGACAGAGTCCTGGCATCAGCTTCTTGGAGGAGGAGGAGGGGTGTTACTCCAGGATACTAGGGATCCCCACACTGTGGGGATGGAACCCCAAACCAGTGCACATGGAGATGCCAGCATTCTCCCATCCAGTGCCCGGGGGCTCAGGTGACAACTATTAAGGAGTGTCTGCGTGCGGGGTGGAAGTGTAACATTCGCAGTAAAGTTTTCTTTTTTTCCTTTTAATCATCATCATTATTATTATCATCATTATTATTATCTTCATTATTATTATGAATACTGTCTCACATCTTTCAACTCAAAAACAATAAACTGATCCACAGTTTATCCTGTGATGCCTACCCGGCTGCTCTGACGTGCGTTTCCTTCTACCCTCCCCCCATGTGCTCATTCATTCCTTCACTCATTCCTTCGGCCACAGCCCGAATCAGAGGGTTTCCTGTGGTAACACATTCTGATTCAAGCCGATGGGTTTTAATTAATTAATTAATTGATTATTTTAAAATGTGCACGCGAGTGTGTGTGCGYACACGCACACACAGAAAGTCAGAAATAGCTAGAACGATGCTGGGAAATATCAGGTAGCTGTTAAAGCGAGTAGCCCCCAAATCAGTCATCTTGGCCTGAAGATGTAAACAAGGAGGTTTGCTTCCTGCAAGATGAGTGCTTCATTGAGTTTGGTTTTCATTTTTCCTACACCGAAGCCACCTCTGTCCTTCCCACGCTCATGTCTGTCCAAGGCTGTGTGGGAGGTTACGTCAAGATGTGACCAATAAAGTCCAAAAAGCGCTTTGAATACTGTTCTGGATTCACTGTTGAGATCTCGGCTCCAGCCTAGGCAGTTTCAGAGGAAAAGAATATTGATATAATGTTTATGGTTTCCCTAAATTACTACTCGATATTTATAGTTATTTCCCATTGCAGATGAATATAATGCATATAATAATATAATGCATATAATAATAATATAATGAATATATTTTTTTTGGTAGTAATAGGGATCCAATGAAAGTCCTCAAGCATGATGTGCAAGTGAGCTACACCCCAGCCCTCCAGCTAACAATGTTCACATCTCTGTAGTCTCTAACGTTGAACTGTAACCCAAATTATCTAGGCTGTTTGGCCCAGTAATCAAGATGCCTATGAATCTATGTCTGAAAATGAAGCAAAGGCTCACAGCAGCACTAGAGATTATTATCACATATATGTATATATGTGATAAATATATATATTTTTTAGATTGTAAATTATCTTTATATATATAAAGAAAATTTACAATCTAAAAAAAAAAAATAAAACTGGCCATGTTTGGTACATTAACATCAAATTGATATGGCTGACATTTAGAGACAAAGGGACAATGCATTTACTTTGCAAGAAGGCAGACTGGAGAATGACAAAAAGGAACAACTGGCAAAAGTGAAACCTTGATAACAACAAGGATTGTGTTAATTTTTCAGGACCTCCTCATTTTACAAGAGGTAAGTGATAGCAGTGACAGATCCTGGGACACTGCCCCAGGCTCTTTCCTGGTACCATAGCCAGGTGACACTCCTGGCACCCCCAAGGGGGAGGGGCTGGTGTCTTGGCAGCAGGACAGGGGTGCCACTGTTCTCCTTTCACAGAGACCTGCATAGAGTCAGGAAGCATGACCCCTTGCAGAAGCCCAGGGGGGATTTTCTATTCTGAGATGAACAGTGCTGACCGGCACACTCAAGGCAGCTACTGGCCAGCTTCCTGAACTACAAAGGGTAAGGCCAGAGTTTAAGTCCCTAGGTTCTATGGTTAGACACTCAAGTTCATGGGCAAACTGGTAATTTCTAGGCCTGTCCTGCTGGGGTTTCCACTGAAGAGCAGGCCATGATGGCAGGCTGACCCCTAACACCAACTTAGCACAGCACCTCTTTGCTAAGAGTAATGTTTTGTTCTTACAAACTGCCTATGATTTTAGGCCATGTTACAGAGCTAAACTGGTAACTTACTTGGGAGACTAAGACGGAGCCATGTTGGCCATGGTACACTTCAGTTTCATAGTGTGCTCATACATCCCCCTGTAACCCCCTACCAAGCAAGGCATTAGAACCCCTTTATCAGTCTAGGGAACTAAAGCTCCCAAAATATTTCCTCAAGGTCATACAAGTGGGAAAATGACACAGGGATTCTGCTACAATCCTGTCTTTGAAATTACTGATGGTTTTCATCTGAGCAGAACATGAGAACCAACATGGAGCCTTCTGAAGACCTTTCCCTCAACTTATGAGCTGGAATAACCAGGGGAAAAAGGACAGTGTGCCTGTCATGTGCATAATGAAAACGGTGCTCAGAAGGTTCTGATGGTGACCCACTGTACACCTCTCTTACTGATGTGCTCACTGGGCCTTGGTCTATGGTCTGTGGCCTGCATATGGCAGAGCCACCATAGCTATTGTTGATAAGACTGAAATATTTCTTTGGCCAGTGGCATATGGTTTTAGGCTGGTTCCATCTCTGGGATGACAAAGAGCCTTTAATTGAGTTTGCTGGTCCTGGTGTATCTTGGTTAGCTCCACACAATCTCTGGGAGGCACCTCTCCTCCAGTGTCAACAAATAGGACCCAAGTTCATCTGCATGGGATGGGGCTTCATGATTTTTTAGTACCTGGAAGGCTGTAATGGATCTCTGCAATGCAAGTTCATATGCCTAGGATAATGATAATTCTGAGCAAAAAAGGATAAATGTGAGGGGTTGCTGTTATGAAACTTAGATATTATACTCAAGAGATTTCTGTAATAGGAACAAAATACAATTTACTAAGAAAAGAAATAGAATCCTGCATATTCAGGAGAATCCTACTTCAGCTTGGAACATTTCATATGAAGACACTAAACTATCTTTCCTAAACTTTTATTTCTTGAGTGTTTTTCAAATACAGAAGAATCTTTATAATATTCTAGTGATGCATATGGCTATTCATATCCCCAGTGCAGAAACTCCAAGAGACTCTCTGGAGGCACAGAAGTCAGGGTAAGTGCAGGGGTCACAGCTGGACCTTGCTGGCTCTGAGCCTTGCATTCAGACTCGGGGAACAAGCTTCACCTAGAGGACTTGGAACAGATGGGTGTGGAAGGGCAGAGAGAAGGAAGAAGCTGAGACACTTACGCCATGTTTAACAGTTTTTGCGGCATGGGCAGCCTTCTTTTTTGCGTCGTAATGAGTAAGAATGTCAATGATCGCCATGAAGTACACCTCCTTCCTAGGTGAGTCTGGAAAGGGAGAAGAGCAGAGGAGTGAGCTGGTGAGGGGGAGTCAGCAGGTGGGGCAGTGAAACCAGCTAACAGTCTYTCCTGCATCTCTGCTGTGTTCCCTGGACTCAATCTTCTTTCAATCCAAAAAGTAACAACAATAAAAACCCTAAACAAACAAACAAAAGTCAACATCACAGCCCCAGAATATGAACAGCAGAGGTCCGAGGGTGAGATCAAGTGTTTATATTTTTGTTAATCTTTATTTTGTTTCATGATAGTGTACTAATTTGGTATAAAGAAAAATGCTATTTTTAAAATGCTCTAACTAGTAGAACTAATTATGTTCATTAAGGCTTTTCTACTCTTAGATACACTGTTCATAATTCTCATTGGACACAGTATCAGAATTGATGAAGGTTTTCCTTCCATTATCTACTTCCTATATATTTTCAAAATTATGATGTTTCAAATGATAAATGGTAAGAAACATGAATTTGACAGTAATTTTCTATGTTAAAGAAACAATTTTGGTGAGAAAAATAAAAAGATTAAAACAACTCAGACCCACTTGGTTAAGATGCAGTTTGAGATTTTACAAAATGTTGTGAGGGGATAGCTCCATGGTAGAACTTTCCTAGCATATTCAATCCCTAGTACAAAACAAAACAAAAAAAGGGTGCATGTTTTATTGCTCAAACAACAAAAACAATATAACTAAGACTTTTGAATAAATGGCTAAGGAAGAATATAATATTCCTTCAAATATTCAATTACATAGATATTAAGGATTAAGATGAATCTGACTTATAGAAGAGGGTCCTATTCCCACAAGAAGGCCACCTGAAGGTCATCGTGAGCTCCACACATGTGCCTCACTCAGGATAGACTTGTGATACTTTTGACTTACTTAAAAGATAAGGCAGGGGACATGGGTGTTTCTCTGAGTACTTGCCTAGTATGTGTAAGGCCATGGGCTCAATCCTCAGCACCACATGGATATAAATAAATAAGAAAGACAGCTAAGAAAAAATATTTGACAATATTTAAAAATATTTCTTGTATATCTTACCTATAAATGTGTATATGTATGTATATAGATATTTATATCTGTAAATGTATAAGTTATAAAGCTAAAATAGTTGGTGGTTTTTCCCTATTCCCTCAACATCACAAAATTCAAGGATCTGATTTAATTTAATTCTAACATCAGAAAGATTCCATTTCCCTTTAACATACTTTTGATCTCAAATTTACTTGCACTTTGGAGAGAAGTCTTACAGGACAGCACACTTGTAACTGGGGTCATGATTACTGATGCATCACGGTGCAAAAAATCAAACCACTTCATTGGTAAAAAGTATTGATGGTAACTGAGCTTACTTTCGTGGCATTTAATTCCATAAACATCGATGTTTGGATCGAACTCCCCGGGTGCCAAGGGTGGTGAGCTGTTGAGTGTATTTCCGGGACTGTCTGGTGGGGTCCCAACTGGATGGGTGCTGTCGCTTTCCCCCTCCTCCTCCCCATCATTCTCTTCGCACTCCACCTCCTCTTGCTCGGCTCTCTCCACGTCATGAATTCCCACCAGAAGGCTGTAGTCCATGAGCTTTAACTGGGCAAGGAACTGGAGGGAGGAGTCGACACAGTCAGCTATATCTTAAGCAAGATTTAAAGACCAACTCACATATAGGGAAGGCTGTGAGGGAAAGGGAGGCAGAGGTGCCAAAGGGGTCCTCCAATCCCCCTGCATGAGGGTCTCACACTCCAAGACAGTTTTTCTGGCTAAAACACAGCCTTGTACTTGGGGCCAGTTTAGAGTTAGGGTTATTTTCCCTGAAATGCAAAGTTGCATGCTGAGGCATGCATTTCTCACATGAGGCTGGGTTACACCAGAGAACAGAGAACATGACTGGCCAGAGAGAGGGAAGGGAAAGTTTCTCTCAACAATGAGACTGGCTAACAGGAAAAAAAAAAGGGACCTCCCAAGTGGCTTCCAGCAGTGTCTCGGAGTGGTTTGGGAAAGCATTCTGAAATTCAGCACACCCTGCAGAGGAAATTATTATGTGGTCCATCATGAATAAGTAAAAGCCCAAGTGTCCCAGTCAACCAGCAAATGAATTTTGTTAGTGCTATCACGAGTAGTGGGGTCCCTCTGTCCTGACCCTTGTCAGGCCTGGGGGTGGAAGGAGGGGGATGGAAGAAGCTGAAAGTGTTTTGCCTGGTGGTTCCTTTTACCCGCTTTTCTCTGGTGCAGGCCTGGCTGGAATACACTGTCAGGCAAGACCTAGCTCTGTGGGTTTGGCTACTCCTGTATGCCAAGTTCTTTGACTTTCCATGCCATGATTTTTTTTCTTCCTTTTTTATTGGGTGGATGCACCCAGGTATGTGCTTTTAAGTGCAGTGTTTCAACTGATTCACTCGGTGTGGACGGGTTACTGGGTGCGCATGGCAGCGGTCCATCTGCTGGCTGGGACTAAACGGCTGGCTTCCTAATCCCCCAGCTGGTGGCTCTGCTTTGATTCTAGTTCTGATTGATTCTGAGCTTATGCAGTCCAAGAAGGTGTGCACCCCTGACTCTTGAAGAACTCAGAACCGTTCCTGATCACTGAGTGGAGTGGCTGACAGGCCTCTGGGCCATTCTGACAGAATTGAGGAGACAAACTTCATACACAAAGGGCAAGTATAAGAAATGACAGGCCTTGAAGTTCTGGCTGAAAATGAAATAAATCTGTGGAGACCTGCAGGCCGTTTCTTTATCCTGAGACATCTCAGAGAGGAGTGAGGAGGCACGTTCCCTCACTGGCAAGGATGGAGGACTTCTGGGTGCACCTGCTCCAGGGGGCTGCTGACCAGCCGCCTCCCATGACTTTTCCTCTCCATAGGCCCAGGCAGCCTGCTCTGCCACCAGTCCTTTCCCAGCTCCCATGTGGGCACCTTCCCACATGGATCCCTTGGGCCCGCTAAAACTTCCCCATGTGTTTTGAACTCAGACAAAAAGAACTTATATAAATATTATACTCAGATATGGAGAATATAAATATTATACTCAGATATGGAGAAATATAATTATTTAAAAGTAGAGAGAAGCACCGGGCCCTGTGGTATATGCCTGTAATCCTGGTGGCTCGGGAGGCTGAGGCAGAAGGATGGCAAGTTCAAAGCTAGCCTTAGCAACTTAGTGAAGCCCTAAGCAACTCTGTGAGATCTTGTCTCAAAATAAAACATAAAAAAGGGCTGAGGATGTGGTTCAGTGGTTAAGTGCCCCTGGGTTCAATCCCTGGTTAAAAAAAAAAAAGTATCAATCTTTTAAGTATCAATTTTCTTCTTCTTGGAGATGGAACCCTGGGCTTTGCATTTACTGGCAAATGATCTATCACTAAGCCAGCCACAGGACCAGCCTCAGGGACTGGGATGTGGCTCAAGTGGTAGCGTGTTCACCTGGCATGCGTGGGGTGATGGGTTCGATCCTCAGCACCACGTAAAAAAAAAAAAAWWAA